AGAACGTGCACTGACTAGTGATACCTACGTTTGCGTTAACGATCACGTGATCTGATACGTTGTGGCACATGCGTCCTATATGCAAATACGTTAGAGCCACAACAACTGAAGAACTTTTCTGTAACAGTTACCCGTATTCTTGTAATTTTCTGTGATGATTAGCATCACAATTAACCTGCCTTACCCTCAAAGAAAGATTTTCCAGTGTCAGGATAAGAGACTGAAGCATGAAGGTAGCCAGTCGCTGCCAATTACAGCCCGCATAAAAATGCATGAAAATTTACTTCCACGCCATCTATACGCCTTTATAAACTGATTCTTGGGCATAGTAATAACTAGGGCCCGGATTTTTTGAAAATGCATATGCACATATGCAAATGCATATTTTGAGGGTTTTTGGTAGTTATTGCATAGTCTAAACGTAAGAGCATATTTCTGCATATGAGTTTGAAATTAAGGATAATTAAGGATGAGACAACCGATTTATGTGGCCGATGCATAGCAAATTTTATAGTTGGTAAGCTACATCCAGACGAACCTGGCAAACCTGATCTTCTTGCTTGCAAAGTACTAGAGAAAACCAAGCATAGCACAATAGCAAGATTTGTAAGTGATTCTCTGCGACTACTGTGGCCATCTGAAACTGAGAATAATTGTTGTAAGGTGCTTGCCTTATTCACAGGATGCAGCTTCCTATATGTTGAAAGCACCAAAGGCCTTACACGTATTTTATCCAAATCTTATACACGTAACCTGTTTAGCGCACGAATTACACCATATTGCAGGAAAAATACGCGCACAGTTTCCAGCTGATAACGATTTAATTGCAAGTGGGAACAAGCTGCTTCTGAAAGCACCAGCTCGTGTCCAGTTCTACAAAGATTGCCTACCTCAGGTTCCTCTGCCACCTGAACCTGTCCTAACTAGGGGGGGGGACACGGATATCCGCAGTTTCATTTTATCAGGAGTATTTCAATCAAGTAAAAGAAGTTGTTACAAAACTTGAAGACGTGTATGCATGTGTCCGTGAAGCAAAAGTGGTGTTTGGAAGTGATACTGTTTATCAAGATGTGAATTTTATCCATGCACATTTTTCTACAGTTTCAAAAGCCATTGAGAGCTTAGAATCTTGTGGTGCACTCCTTCACGACTCACTTCAACTCGTTCAGAAAGCAACTTGTTCACTGAATTGCGCTCCAGGCGAAATTGGAGAGACGATTAAATGCAAGTTAGAAATTGTGTTGAATTCGAACCCAGGACTGAAAAAGATTCAGTCAGTTACTCAGTATTTGAGTGGAATTAGGGTATCTCAGCCAGATGAATGTTCCGAACCTTCGGCGCCAGTGTATAAATACTGTCCAATCACGTCAGTTGATGTAGAAAGATCATTCTCAGCCTACAAACCCATTTTGACGGACAACAGACGCAGTTTGTCTCCAGAAAACACTGAGAGCCTTCCAGTTTCCTATTGTGATGCTACTTTCTGCAGTGAATGACACATGTAAATAGGTGGGTCTGAATAAAGTGACCTGCTTCTTAAGTGCATATTTTTTTTTTTATTTTTGGTGCATATTTTCCCGCTTCTTAGCGCATATTTTAAGTGTTTTTAGCGCATAAAGATCCGAGCTCTAGTAATAACACATAAAATAATGAGTCACTTCAGACATTTATCTGAATTACCACTGAGAACAGTTCGCCGAGTATTGTTAGCATATATTTCTTATTTAAAAAAAAATGAAGGAGGCTTATGAGATTACCATGCTATCTGTGTGTCTGTGTAGCCCCCCTTTTTCAACTTTTGACTGCATGTCTCAATCTTTATGAAAGTTGGTACGTATATCATGGAACCTGAGCCCATTCCTCTCATCAGTCTCTGACCGCATATATATATATATCGTTGCTAGGCAACGGCAGGGTAAAATTTTACCGCAGCAACAAATTCACACGAAAGAACAGAAGAATTGTTACACACGTTTTTCTATACGGTACGTGTCGTATCAAAGGAAAGTAGGCGAGTTGTTCTTCCCAGAATTTCTTGTTTCTTCCGTATTGACTTACAGCAGATATGATTTTATGGAAGTTTCTTCGTTGAAAGGCAAATGTCTGACAACATTGTTTGCAGACGTACATATGCTAGAGACTTTGTGAAAGTTGCTTCCAAATTGTGCCCCCTAGACAAGGCGATTCCAGTAAGCGCCATATCAGACTCTGAAGAATGCACCGATTTCTAATCTCCCGTTTTGTTACCTACACAGGAGCCGGGATAGCTCAGTCGGCATAGCGACTGGCTGCGGGCTGGACGACCGATGGCTCGGAGTTCGAGTACCGATAGGGTCAAGAATTTTGTCCTCTCCACGTCGTCCAGACCGGCTCTGGGGTCCACCCAACCTTCTATTCAATTGGTACCGGTGGCTCTTTTCCGAGAGTAAAGAGGCCGGGGCATGAAGCTGATCACTCACCTGCAACTAGTGTCGAGGTCAAGAAAACGTGGATCTATACATCCACTCCCTCATACGCCTTCTGGCGTAGTGCTTAATTTGTTAAGCACAGGGACAACTTTACCTGATGTCACCTACTCAAAGTATGATGCCCATTCACTTAAGTTTTACCTAAACAATACTGTTAAGATTGTTTCCTTTTTCCTAAGCGAATGGCAACATTACCCCTGGATATCACACCGTGTGAGTGTGTGCCATGTTACCGACGTTTCGTAGCTACGAAACTCGTACCTGCTGCCTTCATCTTCATGGCCGAAGTATATGCGAGGGTTGGAACTTTAATAGTGGCAACTATTTATTTACAACTGATACAAAATAGATGCATGTTTCGAAGTTTTACTGTCCTTCAGTATAGTCACCAGCATTGTGTACAACCCGTTGCCAGCGATGTGGAAGCCTTTAGTAGGGCTTGTTGTGTTGATAGTTCGAATGGAGCGGTCTACTGCCTGAAGAATCTCTGGAACAGTTCTGAAGCGAATGCCACGAAGTGGTTCCTTCATCTTAGGAATCAAGTCGAAGTCACAAGGGCTTAAGTCCGGGGAGTATGGTGGATGGTACAGCACTTCCCAGCCCCTTCGATGGAACAAATCAGCCACAGCTTGCGCTGCATGCGGCCGAGCACTGTCCTGCAAAATGATGGGTGGGTTCTGCAGAAAGTGTCGCCGCTTCTTTCTCAAAGCTGGTTGCAGGTTGTGTTCCAAAAATGAACAGTAATACTGCACACTGACGGTCTGCTGTCAGAGAACGGTATGCGTTAGGATAACACCATCACAGTCGTACACGAGAATCACCATAACTTTCACATTGCTGGGGTTCTGACGGACTTTTGATTTTCCCTGTGACCCGTAATGACGCCATTCGTTCGATTGGCGTTTCATTTGTGGCTCGTACTGTTTGTCCCATGCCTCATCCAGCGTAATGGTACGGCGTATCAAAGCCTCTCCTTCGCGCTCATAGCGCTCCAAGTGTTTACGAGCAGCGTCGTATCGTAACCATTTCTGCATTTCCGTCAGATCATGCGGAACCCATCGTGATGCAATTTTTCTCATGCCCAGGCGTTCCTCGAACGTTGGACAAATGTAGTGTATATATAAGCCCAACCCTGATAATGAAGGCAGCGTGTACCTCCAAAATGCCGGAAACCTATCCCAAATTCATACGGTGCAATAAGCAGCGAAAAGAATGTTAACCGTGAAAAGGTAGAATCATTAATTCGAAGACTTCTCTATTGGCGTTATAACCCTGTGTGGGTCTTGGCCTCCTCTGGAGATTTCATGACAGTAAGTTCTTCCGTGGTGGGGTCGTTAGCACCCACGCCCAAAATCTTCTGCAATTAAATTTGCTTTGAAAAACTGGACCCTATCCGTTGACCTATCTGGCATAAGTGGCTCTATCAGGAGCTTAAGCTCCGTCAGCACAGCTACTGCGTACTGAATTAATTATGATCCTCATAATTGTGAATGACATTGAGATTATGAAACTCATAATCGGCTCAAATTGAGGATAATAGCAGGTTCTGGAGATTATATTTCATCTGGTCCTCTAACTTTTTCCATAACAAACAAAAACAAACTCCGTGGCCTGTAGTACGCAAGCGAACTATACCGACCGAGCGACCGCCGCTTGTCGGCGAAGTTAGTGCCAACTTCAGCGGAGGGATGGTGTCGCGTGGTCAGCGCAAGGATCCTCCACGGCCGTTAATCTATGTTTTCTAGACCGGAGCGGCTGTTCCCTTGAAACAGCCACTCAGTTATCCTCACGAGGCTGAGTGGACCCCGTTCCAGATCCTCTACTTCTCAGAAAATCTTGTAGCACCGGGAAACGAACCCGGACCTCTGGATCTGTAGCCAGGAACTCTGACCACTAGACCACAGAGGCGGTTCATTCTGCCATAAGAGCAGAAGAATTTCTGTGAAGGTGTCTGGAAGCTTCAGAGACGCCTCAGAGTACGAATCGGAAGGTGGAGTAACCTCAGATCTAAGGACGGGGAAACAGTCGAAAGCAACTGAAAGTCCGAGTTGGGTGCTGCCAACACAACAGGTCATTATATCCATAAATAATGTTGATACGACTGCAGAGCCTATATATTTCCTACAATGCGATCGTATGGAAAAATAAATATCAATTAAAGGAGAAAGTGCGGGTCAAATCAAATGTTCGATTAAATTTTCAAGAGGATCTGAATGAGGTTGAGTGGAATAATTGTGTATGAGAGGGTGCATGGAGGGAAGGGATGATCGTGTTTCGTAACCTCCCCCAACCCCTCATAATTCAAGCCAACCCTCCTCCATACACAGCAGTGGGGTAAAGCCTATAGGTTTTTAGCTACGCGGAATGGCCGCTGGAGTGGGAGGGTCAACGCATGCGCCCCAAAATTTCAATACACACGTGACGTCACGGTTAATACTCCTCCTCTTGCTTCTCTGTCTTGCAACCGCCCTATCAGTCTGCACCCCGAAATATAGCTTCCATTGTAGCGAAATATCACAGTGCACAAAGTCGGAAGGAAGCAGCAAACAGGACATTAATCACCGGTGCTGCGTTCTGTTGGTGACAAGTATGTTATTGTTGGATTGTACTGTGCGTCATGGTGGCGTGGAGGTAGTCCAGGGTTGAATTCAACACTCTTTAGACTGTTATCCTTGTAGTGGACATTGTCGTCATGTATTCGCCGGAGAAGATGATGAACGGGAAACCGTCACTGCACCCTCCGATCAGCGCCCCGAGTTCCTGCTTCCCTGGCCGATATTCGCCCACCTACCGCTCGCCAGACCCCATGAGGAGATGCATGCCTAACCCTTCGGTAAGTTGCCCCCGCAACATATCTTCATGTGAGTAATGCTTAGGCACGGTGTGTTAATTAGATCCTAGATACAAAGTACTTCATATCCATAGCAATTACACGTATATTAAAGATAGGAACTGAAATGGAAGTCATAGCTGTGTTACAACATCAGGAATTTCACGGTTTGAGAATATAAACCTTACTAGAGGCTAAGTTGTTCATATTTATACAGCAAAGACACTACAACAATTGAAGGAACGCTTACAATTGTTTAAAACATTAGGAATACGCTCAGAATTCCTGGGTTTTTGGACTTTGTCAATCGTTTGGTATTCTAGAAACTAGATAACGCAACGTTTTGGAATTTGGATCTATTTCGGTCCTCAGGTGAGGGAGGGAAGACACCTACTCAGTTTAGTCCCTTAGAAAGGGCTAACCTCAAACCTCTATCACCTGAGGACGGAAACAAATACAGTTTCCGAAACGTTGTGTTTTCTATTTTCTAGAATACCGGACGATGAGCAAAGTCCAAAAATCCAGTAATTCTGAGTGTTATACACCAATAGGCATATAAAAGATATTCTAAAGAAAATTAACTTCATATCTATACAAAAAAGGCACCAGTATTTATTAGAGGATACAGGAATTGAAAGGACATGTATAATAGAGTAGGACATTAGGAACAGTCCTGCAAATAGACATGAACATGGGTCCATGAGTGAGGGCCCAGAGATGAAGTACCCCATTTCTGTACAGAAATGGGAGTAGTGTTTATGATTTGGCAACAGAAAGAACGCTTAATATTGTGTAGGGCATTAATAACATAAATCATGCTATCATACACTGTGTATGAAAAAGATTCAGGGGGAAAAGTACTTCATATCAACATGGGAATCACATTAATAGTTGTAAAAAGGAATTGAAAGAAGAATCAGATTTTGAAAGCCAATATGAATGAAGCCTGCAGATGTATGCAAAATGAGAAGGTTTTAAAGAAACCCTGACTACTTTATGTTCCCGTAGATCTGAGTAACATTAACTGAAAATTCAAAAGCACTTGGAATCATGTAAATGAAATTGTATAGACAGGCAATGAATATGGCACAGAAACTACTGACTCTAAAGAAATTTACATATCCAAACTATTTTGTCGCAACGAAACTGAGTGACAACAAGACACCACTTGGAAGATACAAGTAAAATAAATACTTTGGATCGCATAGGGAAGTGGTTATCGACTAACAAACGCTATCTCTTCGTTCGCTGTGGTATCATCACTGTCTCAAATATTAGATTTCTTATAATAGCAAACACTTCCACGTTAATGTTATAAGTTCATTAAGTCATTTCTTCTCCAGAGCTAAATATATTTTCCATAAATAGATATCCCATTAAAATACATTATACATGTACTGATTATAAGACGCTACCAATCAGAAGTGACGTGCTGACATGCTTAAATTAGATAATTTTATCTAGTTTTTTTCTATGTTGTAGGAAAATTTTATTTCAATATTCTTACTCATAATTTTCTTTGTATGGGGAATTGTGAGATATCTTCTTTGCTCTTACACTTACACTTACACTTAGGAAGTTTGGAAAGCACAGATATTGTCCGGAACAGACGTGTAAGCAGAAAATCAAAACGGCTGGGGTCTTTATCTGTTGCAGCAAAATACATTTACTATCGCACGCAAGCGAGAGTATTATTCGTTAACGAAACACCAGAGGAACAACTTTGTATCAGAAATATCAACAAGTCCTGAAAACACACATGTAAGCCTACTGAATGGGGCTTACACATAAAATATATTAAACACATATAAAATGAGAAAATACGAAATGATGACGATCCTGTCATTTCTTCACCTTCAAACTGGTCAGTCGTGCTGGATGAACTATAGTGTAAGATTTGAGGTTTTCACGGTGGTAACTAAGAAGAATGTCGTCTTCTGGGATTTGGAGCCGTGTAGATGTGTGTGGACGTTTTGGAGGAACATGTCGACCCCATCTTCAGGATGCAGCCATCTGCTCACGCAGGTTTCTCGCTCGAGGATTTTTATTAAGTACCCTGAAGATGGAGGCGATACTTTCCTCCGAAACGTCCGTGTACACAATATCTACACGGTGCTACATCCAAGGAGACGGCATTCTTTAAATTATAACGGCTTATTTTAAATCTAGTAAGTGTAAATAATACTCGAATTCGGAGAATGGTCTATGAAGGTTTGGTAAGTTTATGTTAGATTTGGTAATTGTAAATGCGACCGACAGAGGCTAATTTAGGAGGGTTTATGTTGGTTCTAGTGAGTCTGCCTAGACACTCACATGATCACAATTATTAAGAATATCAGTGGAGATTTATTAAGCTTGTATTACTTACTTACTTACTCATGGAGCCGAGCCCTGCTGGAGGAGCTGCCAATTCTGCAGCTACTGAACAATTTCCCAGCATTTTATGGAACCTGAAGGTTCATCAACTATCGAAATTAAGCTTGTATTAGATCTGGTAAATGTGAATACATTCTAAATCCTGAGACAATGTACAGAAGTTCAGTGACTCCTATTACGGACTGAATTCTGAGCTGCTGGTGATAATTAGTTAATTTTACGTGAAATCTTCTAACATAAAAACTACTTGTGGTCTTGTTGAGGGCCATATATCCATTAGTTAAATTCTGTTAGTTCTGGTAACTGTAAATTGCTACTGCCTGACTTTCAAGGTGTTACTTCCCGGGATGTGACACAATGTAGTCTGGTAGAAGCTCACCGGCGATTTAGATGAACGTAGCTGGCAGCAGGGTCTTCTTGCTGGTTACTTGGCAAACTCTTCGATCCTGTATATGGGGACAGTTGATCCTTCCATGCTGTCAGTGAATTTCCACCGACTACATTGATATTACTGAAGGAAGAGATTTATGAAGCGAGACGTTGGGATGGGTTGAGGTGGCATGATATACGTACGAAGTTCCATGCTGATTGGTTCAGCTGTTCAAGAAATGTTAAGGTTTTCCCAGCAATTTGAAAGGCTGTAATGTTGGTATTATTGATGGGTAGGATTTATAATATACACCGTTGAAATGGATTCGAGTGGCACGCTATAAGTACAAAATTCATGCCGATCGGCAGATGAAGTCAAGTAATATTACAGTTATCATCGCAACAGTTTGAAAAACTGTGATGTTGGTACTACTGATAGAAGGGATTTATGAATTACGTCGTTGTGATGGGTTCAGGTGGCATGCTATACATGCAAAGATTCATGAAGATCGGTAGAGTTGTTCAAGCAATATTAAAGTTTGGCCTCAGTAATTTGAAAGGCTCTAATGTTGGTATTATTAATGGGATGATTTATGGATTATGCCGTTGGGATGGGCTCAGATGCCGTGATATATATACCAGGTTTCATAGAGATTGGTTCAGCCATTCAAAGGTTAATATTACTACGGCTCATAGTCACCGTTGTGAGAAGCTCAGGTTTGACAGATCAGTGGACTGAGCTAAGTGAGAAAGGTCTCTGTTGAGTCTAGTATACGCGGATACAACCTGAGATCAGAAAGATATAGGATACACGTCTTCACTGTAATGTAAAGTTCCTCCAAACCACGCATCAGAATCGGACATTCAGGAACAAAAGAGAATGTTCACACTTGCGCAACTCTTGTCAAATGCAATTCTCCTTAGCAGGGGAAATATATTGATTTATTGGCTTTCCTTACGAGTTATTGGTACGTTCTCATTTCTAACAAAACCATGGATCATGACGGACATTAAAAATTAAATTATATGAAGTACATTCTACAGGTTTTGAAGGAACAATTTATAAACAAATGTATTTTGGACAGAAAGTAATCCATTAACTTAGAAGTTCCCTTAAACTGATAATATTTACAGGTGTAATCTGTATTCTCCATTATGACATATTTACATTGGGAAAATGTACTGAATCTTCAGTCTATTCCTTCGTAAATTAAGCTTCTATTCCGTCATCAAGGTAACAAATTTTTCGGACATAAATAATCAAATGAATGTATGAGGGGTACGCCTTCTCGGCCCTTGCACCGCGACCTCAGTGGTCTGCTGTGCTTTAATCAATTGAATGACGATAATTATTAAACGTTAGTGGCTAACTAAATGGAGAGTTGACACTCAGGAGTGTGACGCCTTGTATTTCTTCACGGTGAAAGTGTTATCGTGAGTCTATCGCAAACTNATGCAAAAGTAAAATTTTGTTTTATTTGGAAAACCTGAAAGCAAAAGTCAACTTGGCAAAGGAGAGGATAGTGTTAAGGAAGGCCTTAAAGAAACCGGATGCGAAATTCTGGATTGGATTCAGTTTATTCATGATAGAACCGAAATATGAGTTGCAGTGAGCATGGGAGTTCCACATACTATGGAGAGTCAGTAAATAGGTAACAAATGGAAGTAAAACAGCTGTAATGCACTTCCAGATTCATGACAGTCTAGTTAACAGACGCGCATGCGCATGTTCAGATTTTGGTTTCAGTAGTCAAAATGGCGACCGTGCTTGAAGGGTGTACTAACGAAGAGCTGCGTTTTGTTGTGCGTTTTTTTTTGTTGGCAAGATGACTCATTCCAAAAGATACTCATAAAGAAATTGTTCCTGTTTACCGTGGGAAGTGTTTCTCGCATAAAGCGGTTCGAGAAATGTGGCAAATATTTCGCTGATAACGAAGGGGTTGAAACGGAGGTGCGGGAGTGGCTGACACAACAGTCAAAAGATATCTATGCTGCGGGTTTCGACGCACTAGTCAATAAATCAAATTATCAATCGAAATCCCGTCTGTAGCCACTCAAAATCATGACAATATTAAAGATGATCTCACAGATAGTATGATGGTGGGAACTGGACAAAACTGAAGATTAAGACCACATAGAATTGACGCTTGTAGTTTGACGGATAGATTCCAACATTTCGAAGGAATATTCTGTCTCCATCTTCATGGTAGAAGAACGATGAAAATGGAAGAACTGAGGAACCGTGGTTTAGTCTCTGA